CTTTTTTATAGATGCATTTTTTTAAGACAAGATTGTGGTGTCTTCATGGAACATTAACATATTACTTAGACTACAGTTGCTGATGTAGTCTTTCAATTTATTATAATATTTTTTCCCTTACACAACAGGTGTAGAATACATGAGTTTTGGGTTGTTTTTTTCAGTCTTCTCCCTCTTCCTCACTCTCCAAATAGACAATCTTTTAAGTACATGAAGCGCATGAAGATTTGTAGTTTGTCCTGACTCTCCAAATGTGAAAATAAGCAATGTTTCAACTTTCTTATTACCATTACATGAGATTTACCTAATACCTGGACTACATGAAGCAGTTTTGTTGAAATAAGTACCTCCCCTTTTTCTTTCATTCACCCACTCTGAGATGGCTTTTGACCTGTCAAGGTCTTTTGCTGGATAAATTACTAATAAGGGGAGGAGGGGGATGGAGTGACTGCCACAAGCTTTACTGATTTAATGAGCATGTTAATCTAAGTCAGCACTACTCTGAACAGGTTCTGCAGTCCCAATGTCATAAAGACATTTTATGATGGGTTACCAGTTCATAGTCCTTGATTACTGATATAACATGTTCCAGTGAATACATACCTTAAGCAAGCCAGATAGCTCTGAAGGCTCAGAAGAGGACGGCCTCACACTCAAACTTTGCCCTACAAGCTTTGTAGATACAAATTCCTGGAGCACTTGAGTCTGGGAACTGAAGCCTGAATTCCAGTAAAGCTAACAAGGGTGATACATAAATGCATATTTGTGAAAATGGAGTTCTGAAATAATGTACCTAATAATAATGTAGTTAATGTATCTACTGGTATTTTGCTGGTGGAGAGAAATGGATGCCCTGGTTATAAGTCTAATGATCTAATTGTAGTATCTCACCTACCCTACTGGATCTTAAGCAGTTGGAAGAACCGATAACCTGTTACTGGGTTGGTAGTAGCAGTTGGAAGAACCGATAACCTGTTACTGAGCATCTGTGCAAACCAAGTTCTTCATCCTGTTGGCAATCTCTTTGCATTAACTTAATATGTGCAGTAATTACCTATTAATAATTTTAATCATGGCTATTGATCTGAATGAAGACAATGCAAATGTTGAAGAAACGCATGAACAAACTAGAGATGTCACAGGCCTGGAAAAAACAAAGGAGTTAGTTCTTGGGAAACTGGACAAAGGAGAGAGGCCAGCACACTAATTCTCAGTATGCAAGGGACTGTACAAAGATGGAGAAATATCTCTCCTACCTTGTCAGCAGGAAGGACAAAAGAGCCTGTGTGTTATAGTTCACAATTCCTAACAGAAGAGCCTTCGAGCACTGACATCCATCAAGATTTGGAATCTGCATCAGTGGAAATTTTTAAGAATAGACAAAAATTATTAGGATTGTTCAGGATATGTAGGGAGAAACAGGTGAAATATCCATTTCGGAAATTTCCATCCAGCTATGTATTCTATATAGATCTTGGCTGATGGTTAAAACTTTTCCTCCCTGAAGCTTTTCTAGCACACAGAGTCAATGTGGAGCAATTGCTGGGAGCTACTCTGTGTACAATGAACATTTTTCTCTGACTCTGTTTTCTCACCCTGACTTCTATTTATTCTTGGACTAGAGAATAGATGGGGAGCAATGAGTGCTCATGGAAGTAATTTCTGTCAGGAGGAACATCCTTCTTTTTCCTGTTAACTTGTATCAGACTTCTATTTATTTTTAACATCAGACCTAAACAGTCCAGAGAAACACAGTTCTAAAAATCATCTAATTTTAAAGTGTAGCTTCTTGGCCAAATGCTTTTACTGTACTGGCATGCACCTGCCAGACAATACCTGCAGCAGAATTGGAATCATATGATTAATGGATACAGCTCCAAGTTCCTTCTGGAGGATTGGGATGCAGGGCTCTGGTCATTTGTGATTTATTTACTCTTAGTACTGTGACTAGCATAGCAAGAGCTGAGAATGTACTAAAACACTAAGACTTTTGAAACCTTATTTTAAATAAGTAGACCTTGTCCATTCCTCCACCATGCCACAACAGAGTTAAAGAAGCAATGCATGTATGATAAAGATCATGAACCATGAAAAAAAAATCTGCTGACAAGGAACAGCAACTTCTCTGAAAACTGTTGCAATGGTTTTTCATCATTTTTGAGATAAATTTTTGGGTGGTATTTTCCTTATGGAGAAATGGGGAGATTAAAGATTTAATTTAATCCTTTCAGATGACAATTCACTTTTCATTTCCCATTGAAAATAACTGTATTTGGTTTTTCTGCATGTGATTGTAGAAGGCTTTAATATTCACAGCTATGACAGTTCTTGAGCCTTATGTTTTTCTGTCCTGTAGGGGATATGTTTTTTTTCATGATACATTCTATGGAGTAATACGGTTTTCTTATTAGAAAGAAAAAAGTAGTGAAAAGCTTATGTTAAGTGAATAGCTTATGTCTCCTGTACATATAAATCTGTGAGGTCGTTACATATATTTCCACACTTTTTTTTTAAACGTCTTTTTCCCCAAGTACTTGCCATTTCCACAGCCAGTGATAGAATTATACTATACATAGTCATATATCTCCAATTTTACATTCTTATAAGGAAAATGACCTGCAGTTCCCTGTAGGTATCACTAATACATATCTCTGTATCCAGAAAGAGAGGCTTATATATCCTCAAAGATTTGTTTCACAACACCATTGTTTAAAAGCCAACTGCTGCTCTCCTCTACTTTCCCCCTTCACCCCTTATAGAGAAATGGTGTTGATTGGAAATGGAAAGTTCCTACTAGAAAAAGGTATTTCCTGACACATTAATTTGTTTATAAAATTTGTTTTGTCGTTGTATGTTCACCATTTGAACTGCTCAAAAAAAGACTTAAAAGCTTTGGGAGGATGTAGAGTAGGTGGGATGGAAAATAAGACAGTAAATTCTGCCATATATCTTAGTTTGAGCTCTGGAGTAAAGGCCGATATAGCTCTGAAGTGCCAAGCAGTACAGTGGTGAGGAAGAACTATTAGCAATGAAGAAATGCGACGAAGCAGTGGCAGGTGTTGGGAGGAAAAGGAGAAAGGGAAGGAAATGGTGTGAAACTTATTTTTGTTTATGTTGGGAATCTTGGCACTAATGTTTTCTCTGCCCTTTTCCAAGGCAAGACTAAGTACAGGTAAGCATTCCTAGGAAACTGGGTTTTTTTTGGTTTGGTTGCTACTGTTTTGTCAATATATATGTACCTATACATAAATAGATACAGACAAACTTACAATGCAATGCAAAAAAATGTCACTCCTAGTAGCCAGTAAATGCATGAAAGGAGGGGCATAATGCATGTTCACTTCTAACTGTAAGTCATGTGAGCTAGAAGATACATTTCTAGTGTTTTAAGATGAAAACATGTCATCCAAACATATTATAAAATGCTCTTGACATTTAAGTTTGGATGTGTTAGTAGGTAGACAGCATGAGTCATATCTGTCAGATTTTTCAGTGTAGCTGTATCAATTCTTGCCATAGCTTTCTGCTACTGATCTACAAATTCATCCTTCAGGGGACTTAAGATCCATCTCAGCATTTTGTCTTTTTTACATCTTTATCATAAATACCATCATGCTCAGGGATCAAATACAATCTCTCCTGCAATGCATGAAAGTTAAGATATTCATCACAAATGGTGTGCTGAAAATAAACCTGAATTACAGTGAAAAAAAGCCATTCAAGCTACAATTTACACTTAAAACACATAGGTACCATATTGCAGACTCGTAATCAAGCATTAAAATGGACTTTGATGGAGAAAGATTTCCTTGGACCACGGGTTATTGCTAACATAAGGGGTACAGATTCTTAAGTAGTGTATATTACCTTTGTTAAAATCCATGAAGCTATGATAATTTTCTTCAGCTGAGTAGTTAATCTCTCCTATTGCCATGGAGAGATTTAAAGCAAGACCCTCATGGAATAAAAGCTTGGACATCTAGCAAAGAAGCATTGCAGTTGTCTGAGCCAGTGAAAGCTGCATTATGCTTCTCTACGGATGTGAATTTTCTGCTTATATTTGCTGAATAGAGTTAAACCCCTATTATCTAGCTGACTCAAGAGTCCTTTGAAAAATTCAGGCAATTACAGTTCATTGTAAGCGAAATATGTTTCTGTTTGAGTTTTGAAATGGGAGAGGAACAATATGTCCAAATTTTGAGCAATCTGACTTCTGGATAACCAAAGCTAAAATAATTGAGATTAGCATGTGTATCCTACTTGTGTTTTGTCTGCTTGCTTGTTTGTTTGTTTTTAAAAAGCTCTGCACTGCATTGTTTCTCTCATCTTTTGGATTGTTGATTAATAAGGCACCAGTCATGATTTGCCAGTTCTCTGTTCCCTTGTGACAGGACAACAGAGTATTGCATCCTCCTTACTACATTTCCCTCATTGGCAATCTGCTTTAAACAGTCAAAAAATCACAGACCAATCTGGTATCATTTGGAGGTAAAAGGGAGTGAAGGATAGAAATAGATTATTTAATTTTTCTGCTGGCATTTTTAATATGAATGGTGTAGCATCTCTACATATGAAAAAATGTATTGTTTCATATTGTACTCTGGTATCAGTTTTTCCAAGGCAACTGTTTTCAACAGTTATTGCTAAAAGAGTTGGAACTTATACAAAAATTTTATAACTGTATTTTTTTATGTAATTTTCTGCTACATTTAAATTTTGCAATGGCTTTTAATTTGCTTAATTGGATAAAATTTCACCTGAAAACCTCAGTGTTTTCAGCAAATTGTACTTTCAATTGCCTCTTTTTCTACTAGGAAGCTACAATGTAAGAATATATTTTGTTGAAAACTAATCACATTTGTTTAGAATTATGAATGGATGAAGCTTCCTTGCAGGCAAAAAGAAATAATTTTAACTAGTTCTGAGAAATGCAAAATATACTGCTGTTTCAACTCTAAGTACATGCATAAATATGTATCTTTATGTACACACAGAGAACGATTTTACCTCGACACAAGCCTTGGAGTTCTCATGTCTGAGTCTGCACCTTCCAAACTCAAGAGGAACCAATCTCATCTATATGGATCCCGCCTTCATCCTTCCTGCCTTCTTCAGTATCTGTGCCAGTGGGGGCACATGGTAACTATTTTCAGAGCAGGTGTGAGGAAATGAGGCAGGTTGGCTAGCAGCCAAATGCTTGTCAGAGGTGCCTAAATCACAGGCAACAACCATGACTTTCTGGGTTGCACCATCTGCTCTCTGATGTTGCCTTCTGCTGTAAATTCCCAGAGAAAGCACCCAAAAGCCCTCCTGACCTTGCTGAAAGCAGCACCCTCCTGGTTCCTGAATGCAGGAAAAGGTTTTTCTTTCATTGTCCACAGTCACCACAAGGTCCTGCCTCCAGAATTACCTCTTTTCCTCTCACCTTGAGCCTCCCACAGTAAGTATTTTAAAATAACTGTTTTCATAAAATGTCCTGAGGTTTATCTTCACTTGGTCTTCTGCAGTGATGCTTTGCAGAGTAATCTCAGATGACAATTAGTAGAATTAAATACTGTGAAACACACCAAAATGCAGAAGACAGATGTCAAGCAGGATTGGAGCAATCACCTCTGCTCTTCCACCTCAAAAGTCTTTTTTGTTGTTGTTTAATCACCTTAATCTTCCTTAGTTTTTCTTACAGGATGTAAAGCCTTTGATTAGAATAGTGACATTCGTGGACAACAGAGAACTAGGACAGGAAGCAGGCAGAGTGTGAAATAGTCAAGGTCTTGTCAGTGCTAATACATTTAAAGACACCTCCATCCCCACCTCTGATCAGTGGAAACCACAAGGTTTCTTCTGAAAAGAAAACGTAAGAATTAATGAAAAACATGCTTTGTAAAATTTGTATTTTTTGTTCTTAAGCCTACCATTTCACTTACTGCACGCTTACTGGAGCTAGCACATGTAAAACTTTTATTTCAATTAATAAACCTATCACAAGGACATAAAAGATTGCTGGTCAGGGAAAGGCCACATGCCTCAGTAAGACTGTGTCCTTTAGATTTATTTTAACCTCACCTCTCTGCTTTGTAACTATATCATTTAACCCCTTTGTCTATAAAAATGTCTTTGCTGGCTCTTAAACACATTTATTCTGTTTGCCATCTTATTTCATATGTTGCCAAGTAACAAAGACCACTGAAGCTAAGTAGGTCACCTCAAAGTCTTCCCTTTTCCAAAGAGAATAAATTTAACCTCTTTTTTTTTCCTTTTTCTTTTTTTTCCCCCCATAAGAACAAATACTATGAAAATCCAAACCCTTCTTTGACTGCTTTCTCTTACATATTCTTCAGAGAAGTGATATCTTTAGGATGGAAATAAAATCAGATTTGATAAAAAAAAAAACCACAACAAAAAAACCCTAGCTCTTCCTTTGCCTGGAATATCTGTCTATCTGCCAGTTTTACCTTTTGTTTTTTCTATCTATCTGCTTATTTCATATTGTTGTTTTGGTTTGTGATCTTTTTCAGAAGCCTTTTGCTTTTCAGCTTTGATGGCTTTAGGGATTTTTTTTCCCAATAAACTTTAAATCATGGCCAGTGAATTACATGACAAATCATCAATAATATATATGGTCTCTGTTCAGGGTCATTGTTAATTTCAGAGTAAAAATGTAGAATTCTGTTTTTTAAATGCAATTATTGACATTGAGGAAAAAGGTATACATGAGACAAACAAGCTATTGCTCCTGCTTTGGCATTAGCCTGAGGAAAGAACTTTTAATAATTCTATAAAGTTTGGTTAAAATAGGGAGAAGAGAACGTGTGACCATCAACACTTATGATTCATCCTTTGCAAAGGTTCCTGGGATCACTAGTGCCAGCCCCTTCAATGATTGTGGCTGCCTGTGGGACCCTTTTTACCATGAGGAAAGAAGCCAGCTAGAGATTGCACGTATAGTAAGCAGCAAGTTGAATTAGTTATTCTGGAGGTGGCTGTTGTTCCACAGGAAGGGGTTCAAGGATGCAATAGAGGGAAGTGGCAGTCAGGAGGAAGATGGAAGAAGTAGTCTGGTGGTGTTAGTCCAATCACGACTGCCCACTCGTCTGGGGGTGTTAGTGAGGAGGCACTGGGTGGAAAGTGCAGAAACTCCAGCATGGCTACAGCACTCCTGTCCTGCTCCATGTGCTCAGCTTGACTGCTTCATGCCATGCCACAGTAATGAAGAGGCGCTGTATCCTGCACCCCTGCACTGAAGTTCAGAGACCTAAAGGGGCCATCCTACTCAGTATAGCTGAGTGGCATTGCTGTGAGGCCAACTTGTGTCACATTTTATCATCTCCTGCTCATTCTGTTCAGTGATCCTGGACTCGAGTCTGGATGGCACTATCATTCTATCTTTGAGAAAAAAAAAAAAAAAAAAAAAAAAAAAAGAAAAAAAAAAAATTTCTTTGCTTGGTACTACTGATCTCAGTCTCCAAAAGCCTTTAGCAACACAGGATGGCTTACTTCACTGAAAAAGGGCTTCCCAAATTACCTATCCTCCTTAACTATTTAATGCTCTGGCATTTTGCTGGTCACTCTAATGACAGTGGGCAGTTGTTGTACATGGTACTTTTAAGCTCAGGTTTTGAAAAGTGTTTTTGCTGGTAATAGTTGAACTCAGAGTTATTCAAAGCCAGAAATCAAGTGGAAATAGAGCGGCTGTAAGAAAAAATCCTCTTTACTACCACTATCTATTTTCATATTTGTGGGAGTTTTTTCATGCTCTGGTACAATTAAAGCTATCATTAATCATTTAAACTAGAAATGTAGCTTAGTGAGTTAATTCATGTTAAGCCCCAAACTAGTTTCTTTGACTAATTTCTTTGACAACCTTCTCTCTACAACTACCTGAAAGGAGGTTGTAGCGAGATGAGGGTCAGTGTCTTCTCCCAAGTAGCAAATGATAGGACAAGAGTAAATGGCCTCAAGTTGCACCAGTGGAGGTTTAGAAAAAAATTCTTCACTGAAAGGGTTGTCAAGCATTGGAACAGGCTGCCCAGGGAAGTGTTTGAGTCACCATCCCTGGAGGTATTTCAAAGACTTGTATATGTGCTGCTTAGGGGCATGGTTTAGTGGTGGACTTGGCAGTGCTAGGTTAAGGGTTGGACTTGATCTTGAAGGTCTTTTCCAACCTAAATGATTATATGTTTTTGTGATTCTATGAATATAAAGAGGATGCCAAACATGGTGCTTATCAAATGAAAATGTGTTTTTACCACTGTACTGGTGAGGTTACAGTTTTTAGATTACTTTGAGAAATTCACAGTCATGGTAAGGAAAATGGAAAACGTCTCTAGTTTTTTCTACCTTTAAGTAAGTGAACAGGAGAATCCTATATTGGTGATGTGTGCTAATGGGAAAGACAGAAGCTTAAAAATATTAAGCATAAAAGATCTAGTACAAGTTCCAATAAATTGAAAGAAAAGTAATTTTTTAACTTGCTAGATTTCATACATCGGATTTTCTTTCTGCTGCTTCTTTTCTTGTCCCTCGAACTGATCAGAAAACACAGAACATAGTCAATTAAATCAGGGATAAAGTAAATCGCATATTCTTCATGTCCTGTGCTTTGCCCTCTTCCTTATATTGTTCTAATTCTCTGCTGGCCAAAGAATAAAAGTGAGGTGGTGACTAGCAAAAAGAACAAAATTGCTGGAGGATTCAGAGGCTTATGAAGTACCTGAAATTACAGTTAATTCTTTTTTTTTTAACTGACTAGATTTTAACTTGACAGTATCTCTTTAAATATATTTAGTTGTCTGGATATTTGAAGCCTAAGGTCTCAGTTGCTCAAGACTTTGTAATGTGACACTATAACATGTTTCTTTGGTATGCTAATTGTTTCCTTCCAGCTGTTACAAGAGCAGCTGTTGTACATTGTACACACAAAGCAGCAGCAAAGGTGCAGCCCTTCTCATTATCTTCTGCTGATGTTTCTACTACCTCCAGGCCTAAGGTCTATTTCTGAGACCCCAGTGGGACCTGCTAAAAATGGACACAAAAAGGACAGAAATTCAGGTAAGCATAAAAGCACCAGCTTTTCTGTGACACATGCCAAACCATCTGACAGTATGATACAACTTGCCTTTGGTATGAAGGGAAAAGAAGAAATTAATTATTTTAGATTTGTATTGTGCAACAAGCCCTCTCTGGCTATACATACAGGCTATTATAGAGGTGTAGTAGCTTCAGGCTGCCCTTGAGAGTGGTCTTCATGACAGCAATTCAAGCCGATTGACCCATACATTGCAATGCCATAGTCCTGCACAGTCCTATATTTCACCTGGAAGATCTGTTGCATTCACACTGCACACCAGCTAAGATAATGCTATAGATGGCCAGTATCCCACCTGTCTCTGTTGTGGGCCAGGGCAGTTCCTTCTCACATTCATGCCACAACACAGTAACCCTAGCAGCCTGTGTCTCTGTTACAGCTCAACTCTCAGCAATTTTGCTGCTGCGTTCACTTAGCTCACATTTTGTGACACAAGGTAAGTGAAAAGAAGGCTCATGAAGCTGGCCCAAGGATTCAACAGTTTTCCCAGCTCGGGAGCCACAGTTGGTGAGACCACTCTTGTGATTTCCTCATGCCCACAAAGCATCCGTAGATTCACCACTAGGACTATGGCACATTACTGTTGCAACCCATCTAGTTCTCCTGGTCATTATTGACAGTATGACACAGACACTACTATTTGATATAGATGAAAATAGCTTCTCTATAAAGTGAGACAGCTTCATGTTTACTAAGGGTAAGAATCCACAATGCTTAATCATGGAATTATGTGAGCCTTTAGAAGACTGAAAAAAGAGGTGTGTGTAGTTAACTTGAGAAGAAAGAATGAACACTCATGACAATTTATGGCCGTGCCATAAATTTAGAGACAATTTGTGTCTCTAAAGTATACCAGTAGAATGGATCTAATAATATCCATCCTGGGAGAGAAAAAAATAATTGGGACCCAATCTTCTGACAAAGGCAGTAACACTATTGGTGTTATTGTGGATCAATCATTGCCTAGGAGGCAACTGTTAATGTGTCTGAAAGCATCTCAGTCATAGTGTGATGGGGTCCATCCCAATCTTCTGGTAGAACAGCTGACTTAGTTGTGCTGAAGAGAGGCAGTATATGATTGTTCTGGAAGGCACCACACTGCTTTCAGTACAAGTCAGCATTGATATATGTAGAGACAACCATGTGGCACGGCTCAAATGTCCATACAGGCACACCAACCTTTGCAGCTTACCAAAACCTAGGTAAAGTATTTGCAAGCTTGGCTTCCCATTGAACTTTCAAACAGTTTATGTTCTTGGAAAATATTGGTCTTAGGTTTCTGTCTTCTTTGTGGGTTGGGACAGTAATAATTTTTAGAAAATATATTTCATAACCTCAAGGATTCACCACAGGCACTGCATGGACATGAGTTCAGCAAGTAGCCAAACACATGAAGAATGGACCACTCAAGGATGGTGGTTGTTTATTTTTTAAAACCTCCTCTTTCACAATTGACAGAACTACTCTTGCTTTCCAACACCAGTGAAATTTAATAGACAGATTTGTCTATATCCAGGCTTGAATACACTCTTGAAGGTATAGGCTATTTTAGATAAAGGCTATTTTATGAGGCTACTTTAGATAAAGGTGTTGAGAAAATGAATTCCACAGTACACACTGTAACATGAGTTCCTTCATGTTTTCAATTCGTGTCACAGGACACATCTCAAATTATCACAATAACAGTTCATATAACCGTTTTAGTGGGCATGCAATGATACAATGGAACACAGACATGGTGATATTCCACTTTGGTAAAATTAAACCCTTAAATTGATATCCATGATTAACAGTTGCTATTTGTCTAAATAGAATCTTTCATTCCCAGATCTGAAAGCCTTTCAACAGGGTGGGAGATGATGATATCCTTTTTCTAAAGAATAAGAAAATTATATGTACAGAGGTTAAGTATCTTATCTCATAGATTTAGAGGTAATGCTAGCAATAGAAGCCACACCTTCAAGCAGCACTGCCTAACCAGGTTTTGAGTGACTATACAAGTGCCAGTTACTGAGAAGTTTTACTTGGGGTTTCACTCCTAATCCCAAGTGGATCTAGAAAGTTTCAGCACTTTATATGGATCCAGCCTACAGTTGCACTAATCTACCAGCATTAAAAATTTCATTTGTAAACAAGATCAACTTTATCAGTCTCAACATACGCAACCAGCTGAAATGAGACCAAGCATGAGTTTTACCATAAAGTCCTGAGCAATGCAAGACTCGTAATGTTAAATAATTCATATTTAAATTAAGCCCCCAGAATTCTTATGTCACCTCACTGTTTGCTGTGAGTAATCTGTCTGTGGTATAGCAACAAAACCACCCTATTTTGTACTGATATGTTCTGTTCAACTCTACAAGATAGAATCAGAGCTACTGAAGTGGAACTATAATGTCTGTATCAATAGCTAGAAGAAATCGTTTTTACTTTGACAATTTGGGAGATTCAACAAGGTTATTGCATGAGGTTCTGCTCTATACAATGCTCTGAAGCTTAAAGGAAACACAATATATAACATTATGACAAGTAAAACAAGTACTGTTCCCTCAAACATACTGATTCGCTTTGATAACTGACATACATTATGAGTAGGTTAAGTACCTCTTTCCATGGTGAGGACAACTAATTTAAAATCAGATTAAATTTGTGTAAATTTTTATGTTGGAGGACTTTTTCACTAACAGACTCAAATGGATATTTTCAGTTTGTGGCTCATTTGCAGAATGATTTTGTTCATGAGACGGGGTGAAGGTGCAAGATACTGACTCCGATTCCTGATGGGCATTCCAGCGCAGCCCAGGTAAAAGCTTTATATCATGTGAGCAGTGTCCATTCTTCATAGGACAGATTTCAGCAAAATCCTGTCACAGACTTTCCAACAATTATGGAAAATATATATCCTACTGTTTCTGAATAAATTTTTATAGTCTTAAGTTTCATGGTGATCATAAATTGAAGCATATATCTTGCGAAATTGTTATTAAAACTTGTGTTAATTCTCCTTTTTCACCAGTTGACATGCGTTATTTTCATGCATGACTCCATGTTTACTACACAGCGTACTCTGTCTACATTTAGCAAACATTTTGTCAGCTGATAAGTAAGCACATGAACAGACGGTACTGATATTGTATTCCTGTCTATGTAGCAGTGTTCTGGTGTTCGCTCTTGGATATTCTTTGACTGCTGTCAAAAAGATGAAGGCTGAGTGACAGAGGTGACTTATCTTGACAAGAGATACCACTGCTTTGCAGAGGACTACATGGAGGAAAAACAAGAGAATCAAGAGAGAAGATTTGATTTACGTTTTCTTGTACATACAGGGCATCTGGAACGATATTTTCCTTTGAAGGCTGCTTCTACACTGCCACAAGCACAGAACTGACAACGAGGTATAATTTATCCACAAAAGAAATAGCAGGCTCAGCATTTCAAAGTGAAATTTACTGTAAGTGTTAAGTATAAGTAACAATAACTGTGCTACTCACTCATCTGTCTTACCATTTAGTATGGCACACACAATCTACCTAAATTTATATATTCTATACTTAGTAGCTAGTCTCTACATATTATATTCTGTCTCCTTTCCCTTTGTACTTGCCAATTTTTCCAAATGACAGTCAGTTTAGGGTATTTTGTCTGTCTGTATTTGGAGTAAGACTGCACAATAAGGCAGAATAAAATCCCATGGCACTGACTATTTCCTTACTTACAGACTATTTCTTTAGTCTGTAAGTCATCACACAGAAGTCAATAGGTTCGTTTAATAAAGTAGGGTCCAGTCCATGGGAAGAAAACATTATTTCTCTATATAAATGGCACCTATAATGGTCATTGATTTCCATTGTCTTAATTTCCAGGAAGTTTCTGTAGGCTTTGATCTATATTCTGCAATATTATTTATCTTATATAAAACTTCTGATTGAGGCCCTTTTTTTAATAGTCAGGGCAAGGTCCTGCAGAGTAGTATTAAAAAAGAAAGAACAGAAATTCTTGCTTCGATTGTGGGGTCCTTCCTTTCACTGGCTGAACAAAAGGAGAAAAACATTTCTGGTATTAAGAAGAACGTTTAGGCTAAATTACATTAGAATTGAAATGTTAAAGAAATTTTTAGCTAGTGGATAAAAATACATAATCTGGTGAATTAATTTTGAGACCAGGACTGTAAAGTAACAGTATGAAATTTAAAAAATAATACTAATTTGAGCTTCTTTAAAAAAAAAAAATTCTCCTGGAGTGTAAAAGGTAGGCTCAGATCCACTTAATACCTAAAAGGCAAGTCGTTTTCATTAGGCGTATGATGCAGAAGAATTAATTAAGCAACAGAGAAATTGTAATAGGACTAAGGTCAAATAAGCAAGACAGTGGCAGAATAAGGAATAGATCTCTTTTTCCTTCCGCAGCTACTATACATAAATGAGATGGAAATTAAAAAGCAATTAGGAGAAATATATTGAATTTGTATTGCTAATGGACTACTGGGTTTTGGCCTTCTCTTCTGTGCTCTGGAAGGGCACATGGGACTGATACACATTTGCTGGTAGGTGCAGGAGGTAGCTCAGCTGCGATGCATCGATCTGTGTACCACAGGTTGCAGTCGTTTGTAATTATGCATTTTCATTCTGAAAGCATATCTCATCATACTTTGGCATACTAAGACACGCATTTGAGATTGGCTAGAAGCAACTGTGCTCTAAAATATACAATATGTATGCAAATTAACAACAGTGTTATGTCTGGGATAACATCGCATCTCTAAAACAAGTCTATTGTTTGCCTTACCTTATTCTGGACTAATATTTTATAATCTAAACAAATAAAAATGTGGCATTTAACATCACATTTTTCTACAATTGTGAGGTGAAAGCAGAGCCTACATTTAAGCTTTCTCAATTGGTGGACCGAATTTTCATAAAATGTCCATCGTGTTCTTGTATGTACAAAACAACACAACACACCTTCTACCTGTGGCTGCCTTGTATACTCATAAAAATAGTATTTTTATACATAGGTACACCTAAGTATAATTTGGCAGAATATCATAGTCATATGCTTGACTATAAATGACTTTGAAGAGGTTTATGAAAAATTCTACCAGCTACTATTTGCCACACATACTTCAGCTTTCAGGCAGATATTCTGCCCAGGAACGGCAACGAGCACTGTGCATTGTTCTGTTTCTTGTTCTTTCCCATTTTAAAATGTTGTCACAAGGGATTCCAGGCCATGTGATGACTATCCACACTATGGATATCACCACCCACCCCCTGCTTTAATTCTCTTGGAAAAGTCAGTTGCAATCTATTGAAGGGAGGAAGGCAAAGGCAAAAACATGAAAAAACTACTTTTTATGCTCTTTGTCTTCCAGCTAGGATAACCCAGAAACCAGGTTTTTTTTAAAAAATATAAAAAGATTGCATGACAGAGCTATTTTTTCACCCTCTGTTATTTTTCTTTTTTTTCCCCCACTCGAATAAAGAGAAGATAGAGTGTAAAACCAAACTCTAAAAATAGAGGGATATTTTCATTTGCAATTGAAAAGAATTGTCTTAAATTCTAAAAATATTATTGCAAAATGAAAGGTTCATTTCAAACAGTCTCAATAGAAATGTATAAAATTTCATAAATGCTTTTTCTGCATGGAAATCTTCACAGCATGTTAGGGATTAGCATTTAAGCCTCTAGTCTGGATGTGGCTGAGTACCTGGATCTGCTAGAGAATCCATTAAAGCACCCTTTTCCTTGAGGGGTACCTGCTGCTTTTTGCGTATGTGAACATCAAGTGCATCTGAATGCTTGCAGCAAAGTGGAAAACTCCTCCCCTCCCATTGAAAAATATTTTGTGAACACGGCTTTGCAGTTCCAGCTGCAATGCAGTTTTGAACAAGTATTAGATGACACAGTTTAGCCATGTTTTGCAGAGAAAGAAGTGTTTAAGAAACAAATGAATCCTGAAGTTCACAGCAAATTTACAAAAGGAAAGAAATAACAAACTTATTATAATTGAACTGGTAACAAAGTTCATGTTTTCATTATATGAAAGGTTCAACTTTGGCGGAGATACAATATCCTGCATGAAAAGCAGCAATATCATCCAACATGACACAACTGTCACATCACCTTGGCCTAGAAAGAGCAGATCATCAACAATTATAGGACGCTACAATCTTCTGAAGGTTTTTAATTAAAATGTATTAATCTTGTTATTTAGAGGATTCTAGTGTCAAAGACCTTAGGAAGAGAAAGATTGTAATTGACTTATAAAATTTGCTGTTAGAAGGGGAAGTAATCCTGAATAGATAAAATTTTTAATGCTAAAATATTAACACATTATTGAATATGATTATTGTAAAGTTTGAAAAATGAAGGATTGGTTTAGGGATTACAACATTAATGATAACATTTTAAAACTGTTTCTTTTGCTAGCATCTGATAGAATGTGTCACTTTCCATGTCATGAAAGACCATGAAATGCCACAAAATGTAGCAGATTTCTGCTTAGAGAAAGCAGACTAAACTAAGTGCAAAGGTTGATATATGTTCAGTAAAGGAACTAATTTTCTTACCTTTCTATTTCTTGATTGTAATGCTTTCTAACGGCTAAAATAGAATTTCTTTAAAATAGAAAAGGTCCAATTTTTATGAAGTAAGTTCTCATTTCACAGGCACAGCACAGTGTACAGACTGGTTTGGGTCAATTTATACTGAATTTGAACATGGAAGTAGTAGGCAGATGGTCATTATTAGTAGTAATCTAATGCTTAGCTCTATTTGAGAGGAATATGTAGGTAAAGTCAATAGCTAAAAAAAGCCGGGAAAAAAAGCACAGCATTAGGAAAAATAATGTTAACTAGAAGACACGAAGGAATTTGTGAATGTGTAATATTTCTCTAATGGACCTTCTTGTACAAAGTGTCTCTTATCATTTTAATCAAAATCTATTTGTCTTTGGAACCGGATGGCTGTAGACAGAATTTAAAATTAAGGTTTATGATTAGCAAAAGAGTTCTTAGTACCATTTCAAAAAGTTAATGATGCTAGCAGGGAAAAAAAAAAAGTTTCATGAAGCAAGGAAATAGATGCACACAGTGATAACTCTTAGGGGGTTAGTTCTCATTCAGCAGAATTTGGCTGTTCTAAAAGGAGACTGGTATGGATCAAAAAGCTATTTAAGTCAATCAGAATGCTTCTAGTCTCTCCATGGGAATTAAGCAAGGCTGTGGGAATCCAAGGAAGTTGCTATGTATGTTTCGATGTGTGCTGCAGACTCCTAGTAAAATCTCCAGAAATCTCTACCATTGAAGTAAGACAGAAAATCAGTCATCTTTAATGCAAGATTTACACTGTTGTTTGTGAAAGCCTGAATAATTGTTTTTTTGATACTGGGCACAAGAAAGAAACTCTGCTTTTCAGAAATGAAGTAGATGAAAATCCTTCTAGTACCCAGGGTTTATACTTCACTTCTATAGACATGGACATATTTAAGTAGCAGGACTGTGATTGTGGTTTGATTAATTAATTTATTTCCTTAACAAAATTGATTGAACTTTATCACCAGTGATATGCCCAAATGTGATAATTATGGATAGGCACAATTACGTCACCTGAGGAGAGTCTTGCTGTGAGTTCTGTGCCATTGGGACCCTGTGCCACTTGGTCCAGACGCTGTGACCGCTGTTTGCATGGTGCTCTCAGGTGTCAACACAGAAGATGCGAGGATGCAGGGTCGTGGGGACATTGTCCACAGGTCAGTTTAAGCCACCCATAAA